CTCTCTGCTGTTTCTGCGTTGGCAGCTCGTGCTTGGCCTCAGTCTCTGCAGTCTAGCAGGTTACTTGAAAATTTACTCCCTTGTGCATGGGGAGGTTTTTGTAACTTGATTAAAGCTCTGTAGTCCCTGGGGGACAAGGTCTTCAGCCCTCAGATGATTCCCGTGAGCTAACCTGAAGTCTCCTCCACTCTGTCAACATCCTCTGCAAAGCTCAGTTGAGCGTGACGCTGCTTGTGTAATGCTGTGTCTCACGGTAACGTCTCCTGGCCTTTCAGCGTCCGCAAAAGGCCTGTAAATCCCAGACTGTCTCTATCTTGTGGCTGCCGCAGCACACTGGCATCCCTCTTGCCATCTTGTGTCCGCTTTCCAAAGCGCACTCTTTCCTGCCGGGCACAGGTCTCGGGCTAAGTTTGCATCTAGTGTGCCTGTTTAAACGGTGTGCTCGCTTTGTGAGAATCAACTTGAATCCCTGTTTCCAAAAGATCTGTTGGTCCAAGTGCAGCGGGTAAAACCCACTTCCCTTCAAAGCTGCTTTGGCCCTCCTTCCCTGCCGGGAAGCATCCTGGGAAGCAGGTCTTGCTGGAAAGCCGGCTGTTCTGTGAGCGTGAGCCATGCACGAGGTTTGGGTTGGGGGTCTCTGAAGCTGGAGGATATTTAACTGCTCTTATTTAACTGTCAACAGCGGTAGGGAGAGAGGGGTTGCGTTTCGGTGCTCCAAAGGGGTATACGGGCAGAAGCCCTTCTGACTTGATGTCTCAAGTCCTTCTTCTTCCTTTTTTTTTTCAGAATACGAAACATTACGAGCTGCTGAACTACAGTGAGCATGGGACGACCGTGGACAACGTTCTGTATTCGTGTGACTTCTCGGAGAAGATGACGCCCACTCCTCCCAGCAGTATTGTTGCCAAAGTGCAGAGTGTGATAAGTGAGTGTTGAGACGGCGCCAGCCCCGCGTTAACACCACAGGGAGCTATTAGAGGGGGACGGGAGCAGGTGCAAACCGATTCCTTGTTGGTGCCCCTTGTTCCGCAGCGGTTGGTGCACCTCTTCCAAAAAGGGGACTCTCTCCACAGGCTTCAGCCTGGGTTCTGCAAGACCTTCCTCTGCGGGCTTGGGGAGTGCCTCAGCCTGCGGAGCGCTCTGCTGTCAACCCCGCTCCTGCCTCCGGTGCTGGAGTTAACCGAGCTCCAGCCCTGCCTGACATCAGCCCTGGCCGACGAACTCCGGTTCAGAGCTGGGCTGAGGGGTTTCCCCACGCACGTCCTCCCCTCCCAGGCTGTGAGTAGGCGATCTGGGCTGTGCTGCCGGCACCCCGTCCCCACATGGCTCACTCCTGCTCTCCACCTGATCGGCTTCCTCTTTTTTTTGGCTGCCGAAATAGATGTGTAAATGCCTCTACCTCTCGGGGGCTGTGGGGAGATTCACGTTGCCCTTTTACCAGCCGCTTGCTGCAGAGGACTGAAATGCCTCGTGGCTGGAGGATTTTGCCCCTGAGGCAGCACAGCAGTAGCCCCTGTTGATGAAAACAAGCTGCCGCTGGCCTGCCCGAATCTTACGTGTTGGGTTTGTTGTTTTTTTTTTTCTTTTCCAGAACGACATAAAAGCAGAAAACAAGAAGAGGAGCCGCATGAAGAAGCCGCTGTGATGAATTCGCAGGCACAAGGGCAGCATCGGAAACCCTGTAACTGCAAAGCCAGCAGCTCCAGCTTAATAGGGGGCAGCGGGGCTGGCTGGGAGGGGACGGCCCTGCTCCACCACGGCAGTTACATCAAGCTGGGCTGCCTGCAGTTTGTTTTCAGCATTACCGAATTTGCGACCAAACAGCCCAAGGGGGACACTGCCTTAGTACAAGACATGGACTTGGAGGAGAAGCTTTCTCTGAAACCCCACCAGGTGCCCGTGCTGCGGTCCAACTCAGTTCCCTAGGAATTTTAGGAAGAGAGCTTTGGAGTAAGGAAAAACGCCCTCAGACTCTTGCAATGCAAAAATGTACAAACCGAGGTGGGATTTTCTATGTCGGCCCAGAGACTGTTCACACGCCGTTTGCATGAAATGAAGAACGTTTAACTTTTTTTAATTTTTCTTTTTTGCTCAAGTTTTAGGGGCATTTGCACATATATTTGTACTATACATTTCATTTTAAAAGGAAAACTGCAGTGAGAGCAGGACGCGTCAGAGCGAGGGGCGACCGCTGTCTGACTCGAGGACTCTCTCTGACAGATAGTTCCCATGCAGTTGTAAAATAATCAGAAACTTGTTCTATTTTGTGCCAGTGACAATAGTTTTATATTAAAAGAGAAATACAGTTTTCATACAGCAAATCTATACAATATCATTGTTTTATTTAATGTAAAGAAGCGCTCTTCTTCCCACAGTTATTTTTCCCATCCCTCCCTGCTATGGTTGCACTACAAGTAGCTACTGTGTATTATGGGCAGTGAGAAATGAGTTCTTTTCCTGGTGTCCATCCTATTTTTATTTCAAATAAGGAAAAGTGTTGGATTCTGTGTAAATACATCAGTGATGGCATTTTTCAATGTTTTAAAGCTGTGTACAGTGCTACATGTGGTATGACGTTCCTCAAATTGTCTATTGTAGCAGATCGTTTGTCGTAACCTGTCTGTCTCTTTTGTTTATATGCCACCTCCCCGCAGCAGAACAGCTAGTTCCACTGTACATAGTAATTGTAACGTTTTAGACTTTACAGAAACTTTCCTGTATTCTGTATATAAAAAAAAAATACTTCACATTCTGTTTTCTGACTGTCTGTCTTAACTCTTTGTCACCACGACCTGGAGCTTCCCCGGAGCCTCTGACCGCAGAAGAGGAGCCCGAGCTGCGGGGAAGGGGCTGTGCCCGGGTGGAGCCAGCCTGCCCTCCTGCGTGGGGATGCGGCAGGGCCGGGATGGTGACTGGGGAGGTCGCAGAACCACAGAACTGGTTTGGGTTGGAAGGGACCTTTGAGGGTCATCTGTCCAACACCCCCCACACACCCCGCAGCGAGCAGGGACCCTCTGCAACTCGATCGAGTCCAACCCGACCTTGAACGTCTCCGGGGATGGGGCATCTGCCACCTCTCTGGGCAAGAGAGGTGGGCTCTGGGTCTAGGGGCGACGG